ATCAGAGCGCTGTCTGGTGACCTTGACCTGGTGACTCACCCTTCCGGCTCGCCCGCGGCGCCTCCCTGTCACGCCCACGGTTTTGGACGGTAGGCATTCCGCGGGGCTACCAACGAGGTGCGGCAGGCAAAGAATCAGAGGCGCGATCCTCGAGGGAAAACCAACAGAATTAGGCAAACTTTCCGCAAAGTTTGGAGGCTTGGAGGTTTTTGTGTGGATAATAAAAGGATGGTGCCGGAAAGAGTTAACGCTCTGACACTTCAAGGGACAGCTCGACGCCAAAGTATTTCATTTAATTTGGTGTTGTGTTTTTCATTCAGACATTTCAAAAGGCATTAGTTTGTCGGTGGTCCGTGTGTCAGTTTGCTGATGTTTCACGTCTGGCCGGCGGCGGCTGGGCGGTGTTTTCGGCGAGCTGTCGACGGCTGCGGTCGCTCCGGTCGACCCCCCGTCGTCACCGCACCATTTCGGCCTGCCGTTGTTGTTGGAGCGGGGTGTGTGAGCGAACACCTCGCCGGCCCATCCACCATCACTGCCGCCGCCGTTTGTGTTACTATTCACGTCACCGGTACGGACACGGGCGAAATGGCTCGCTGCATGGTCCCGTCTGAGGATGGCGGGCCGTTTTGTGAGGCTGTTTCCGCTCCGGAGACGGCGCCGAGCTGCTGACGGCAGGCTGAATCATCCGGCGGGCAATATCGGCAGTCGGACTGGCACCGGAATAAACGATATTCAGCAGAGTTGATGGACCGTTTGCAGTCGGCAGCAGACACCTGTCTAGACGCGCCATATGTTTAGAAGAAAAAAAAAACTTTAAAAAAACCTTTAGATATTGCAGCGAATTTCCCGGTTTTGTTTTGTTTAGTTTTTTTTTCTTTTTGTCTAGGCTAACGACGGGTAGAACTCATCTAAAATTACATGCTCATCTCAAAGATGCTTCATGCCGAGTACTTATGACGCAGTTCCTGCTATTCATTTGTGCCATTTTTATGCCATTCATTTCTCCAGTTCAATATGGAATCGCCTTCATAAACTAGGTCAATGGTATGGAAGTCGATCGAAATGAGTTCTGGTTGATGTGGACTTGCCTATGAATGAAGAATAGTTATTTATGGGAAGTACTTTTCGGACGCCACCCGCAGCTCATAAAATCAACCGTGCTGGCCTCTCCGAAGCTCTAGATCTGCAATCAACATTCCACCACTGAAGTCGGTCCGTTCCAACCTCAGACTTATCCCACATTCCTCCGCATTTCTCAAGGAACACTTCATGGCTGCCTCATGTCGCCGGCTATCCTTCCTTCTTTTACGCATATCCACCGTCTGTGGCTATATTCGTCTCATCCCGGTCGGAGGTCGTCAGCGGACAGCAATCAGCCACCTCTCCCGCGATCCCCCTGGGGTCGGGCCGACAGTGGTGACCTGGCCAGCCTCCCGACCGGAGATTCCGGCGAGTCGTCCCTAGATACCGCCGCACCGCTGCCCGGCCTGTGTTTGTTGTCAGCGGCGCGCCCCGCGGCTGGTGTCCCAAGATTGCTTTGAAACCGGCGCCGGCTTGTGGAGAAGTGCAGAGATTAGTGGTAGTCGTCCGACCCTGGCGGACGTTGCAAAACGTTGGAAGCTAGGGCAGACGTTTTAATTATACTCTTCTTCATTTCGGTAGGTCGAAGCTGCCTTTGTATAGCTGCCTTTTTTGTCTTCTTGATTTGTATGGACATAACGGGTGTGCACTTAGTTTTTGGAAAAAGTTTGTGCTGCCATAACTTTAGTGTTTGAACTTGGATTAAGATGATATTTGGCACATATATAAATTGCAGCAATAGTTAAGAGTTGTCAAAAGAATTAGGCGCTCTCTCCTCCCAGGCGGTCTACAGCCCACGTGCTATACAGACGCTCCCTGTTGAAATTGCGCGGCACCTCCGGGTTCAGGTGTGGCGATGGCTAGCGGGTTATGGACTTCAAATAGACGCTAATATGCACTTAACATCTTCCTTAGTACTATATCGTCTTCAAAAATCCCCATTCGGTCGCCGTTGAGATATGCCAAGAAGATTCCCTTCGCTGCTCACAAACGGTAGGTGTGCGCCGTCCCGTAGATCCAGCGCTCCGCGCGCACAGTGACTGCATTGTGGTGTGATCATGACACCTATACTTTCCTCGGGCAGTGATGTTCCCAATGTGACAAAATTTCTTTATTTTATCACTGCTGTCAAAAGATATCGACGTCTGCATTGGCTACATAGGGCTAACATAATGATTGGATACCGCACGTGGGGATATGACGGTCCACTGACCAGGAGATCGCGTCAAAAGTGGTCAACAGGCTAAGGTTCCACATTTTGTGAACGTTTGCTTCTCGAGATGGTGTTTTACTCCATCTTCATTACATAAAATTTCCGTTTTAGGTGATCTTATTCCAGCATCCACAGGTGATTGCTTGAATCGTCTGTGCACTCAGCATTTATATGATAGCTTACAGATCCATGTCTCATTGCTCCTCTGCTGCTTTTATCGGCTGCCGAGTGCTGTATCATGGTATCTCTACCCTTTTTGGTATACAATATCACAATTTAAAATTTTTCTTACAAACATGGAAAACGGGAGGACGGGAAGTGTATCGGGAACGCTCACAAGATGGTGAATACCTTTTACCATAACGAGCCTCTTCTGCTGGGGCACTTTCGCCACGAATCAACACACCTGCACACTGTGCATGTGCCACGCACTTCCCCGTGCTTGTGTCGTTCCTCTAATGGCACAAGCTTTCTTTCTAGCAATACCTAGAAAGCGCCAGTGGGAAGAGAAGTTGTTTCTCTGGAATTTTTGTTATTTTTGTGAAAATTCCGCCACTCTTTTCCGCGTTCATGACTTAGTTGTAAGCTCCTTTCTGTATGAAAAAATAGTCGGTTTGGTCTGAATTTTGGCATGCATATTCCCAAATGAATGATTATTCACAATACGAAAGTTTGTATTGATAGCTTTAATAGTTTTAAAGATACGGATGATCAATCTTTTTCCAGAAACTAAGTGCACACCCGTTAGATGACGTCAGTCATGTTGTCCATATATATGATCTTCCATTTACCAATTGACTGGATTGGGAGGATAAAAATGTGTGTCTCCGTAAATCAACTCGGCCTCTGGGACCGAGCTGAGCTCTCCGATCCGCCGCTTTCCTGCCCAGAAGGCCGCTTTTAGCGATGTTTGTCCGTCCCTCCACCGGTTTTTGCCGGACCGAGCTGGAGCTGGTCGACAGTCGTGGACCCACAGCGCTGTTGGGAAAGGTGAGGGGAGTACCTCTAGGATTGGATTCGGAGCAACGGCTGCTGAGTGCTGATGCAGCCATGTTATGCAGTCCGTTTCGAGTTACGGAAGGATTAGTAAAGTGATTTAGCGTGTTTTAGCTCTTGGATATGCCATACATTTTGTGTATTTCTCTGATCAAGCACGCCATTTCATCTGGAGTTTGATACTGCGCTCGATTCTTTCCATGTCTTATGACGGATTCGTTGTCCGGCCCCAGTCGGTTTCGGGTGACCAAAGGATGGCCCGATATTTCCGAGTTCTGACCCAGACTTCTTGGTGCGTTGTCGCTCGTCACCCTGTATCTTGCATGGCGCCTCAGATTCTGTAAAAAACCGCTCTCGCTGCGTTTTGTATAGCCGCCGGGAGCTGCCCCCGGTTCGGGGCAGTGACAGTCGCCCGTCTGTCTGACTCCTCTCTCCTCTCCGCTCCGTCGCCACCGTTCCGTCGCTGTCGCCACCTGCCGCGTCGACCGGCGGCTCTGGCACCGTCCCTCATCCTCCCGACACTCTCTCCGGCCTCTCTGTCCTCTGTCCACTCTGTCCACTCTCTCGCCGTTCCTCACTCGGAAATCGCCCGGCTGCGGACCTTCAGATCGGCCAGCCTCAGTAAATCTTCGCCGTATGGTGGCTGTCCGATCCGATGCGACTCAGACGACTTTGGTGACCAGCCGGCGCGACGGTGGCGCCACATGCGGCGGCTTTCGGAACCCTCTGACGGATGGTAGGCAACAGGGAACAAGGCCGCCGTGTGGCTGTTGGCGGGGGCGGCGGCGGCGGCGGCGGCGGGTGTCCAACGTTCCCCGTCTGTCAGCCGACCCGTCGAACGCGCCAAATGACGACGCTGAGCCAACGTCGGTCGTGACGCGCCGGTCATCGACAGCGTTGTGCTACAAATGGGGTCGGTTGCGCTGTATCCTGGGGGTCGGTAGCTAATAGGTAACGCTGAGTGACCTATGAGGCTTAGGACAGATTCGTTAGATTGCTACGATGATTGACACGTAATTTTCGTTCATCAGTCGAAACTGACTCGGGCGCTGTCGTGTTGGTCGGATCAGGCTTCACGAGGCTAACTGGCAGGCTGTTTCTGTGGCCTGTATTGCGTGAATTTGAAATGTTCCTAGCTGGAGCATCAGCGTGGACGTTGGGGTTTATAACATGAAGGTGTGTCCCGAGTAGAGACACGAGTTGGGTCGAACAAGTCGTGTGCAGCTAGCGTGACACGTACTACGAGCCGGCCGAGTAAAATTGAAACGAAAAGGCAATCCGGGTGTTATGAATATGTAACGAGAAACGAAGATGAATGGCCTGCATGTGTAGACGGTTATGGCGCTCTGGATACTCGGCACGACCGCCCATAACTGTCAGAAACTTGTTCGCTGACTTGAGAGCCACGTAGGCACAGCGTGAACTTTGGTGTAACAAAGTGACCGACATCGAGCTACCTGGTCTGAACAGCGACCTGAGTTGTAAACTGGCGTTAAACCGTTCAATGCTTGCGACAGAGCCTATGCACTGATTCATGTTGTATAGGTGTGTTTTGGCCTGAACAATCTGCCCTTAGTGACTTCCTTTTTCCGAATGGTCATCAGACTACTGACCTGACCTCTTCTCCCTCTCTGTGTGTGTGTGTCCCTACAGGAGCTGACCTGTGTTTTGTCGCAGTACTGACCTGACCTCCCCCCTCCCTCTGTTACAGGAGCTGACCTGGGTGGTGTCCGACTACTCGGCCCAGGCGGCCGGCGAGCTGACCGTCAGCCGCGGACAGCAGGTGGAGCTGCTGGACGCCGGAGCGCCCGGCTCCGACCTCTGTCAGATCCGTCTCCCCCAGACAGAGATGACTGGACTGGTACCGGCGGCCGTACTGCAGGCGCGACCCCGGTCACAGGAGCTGCACCCATCAGGTCAGTCCCCGGGGTTACAGCAACACTACCCAAGTCAGTCCCAGGTCACTGGAGATATGTCTCTCAGGTCATTGTCATGTCACGATGCACATTTCGGGTCACGAATCATCACGTTCAGGCCAGTCCCTACTGACATGAAAGCGGTGATGACGGTGAGCAATGTCATCTTTTCGTAAGTGCAAAGTTGACCGGCGGCCGTACTGCCGTACTCCCGCGGCTGACCCATCGCTCACGAATGTCCCGCCCATCTTGGTGTCCCCGTGGACCCGAGGCGGCACTTCCCCGTACGTACGTTCGGGACGTATGTGGTTTCATCGTCTCTATTCCTCCGTGTCTCATGTCTGCTGGTCCAGTTCTTATGGATGCGGCACTGGATCCCGGACGAGAGCTACATGCTTCTCCTGCCCCTAAATAAGCTGATCGGGGAGCTGCAGAAAGACTGTGATAGCCCTGAGGCTTTTCGTTATATTACACAGCCCTTGATGAATGATTGAGCAGTTTAGAGCGGTTTCTTTCATGCTAGTTTAGTGAGAAAACTCGAAGATCCTGCGTTGAGTGAAGTGTGTTTGAAGGAAAGGTTCTTTTCCTACGGAAGGCCCAACGATGCTGTGCCTGTATGATGATTTACCAGGATCAGCTTTTCTAGTGATTGGTGTGCCTTTGAAGTGCTGAAAAGTGGTTTGGGTCGCTGATGAGCAAGGGGGTGCGACTACGTCTCGGCATAGTCCAAATTTCTCCTCAATTTCCGACTTAAAGCAGTGAACGTCGATATGCTTATCTTTCCTATGTAATTCGATACCAATCGATTTAGGCTTGTCGTTCATAAAATGTTTGAGTTTGTATTTGATATCGAACCTTGTCAGCGGAGCAAACATTTGCTGAGACGAGTCTTGGCTCTGATCGAGCCGAACGATGACAGCGCTACTAGTGGTGAAATCTCGAACTTTGAGTCGCGTTAGTCCCGGCTAGGTGGCGCCACACACCCCAGCCCTGTGAAGACTCTGACTCCAGTACTGGTCAGACGAGTTTGTAGGTGCTCGAGGGAGGCCCAGTGTTTGGGCTTACCTTATTGGGGGTGTCGCCTTATCAGACCGAGGTAGCGCCGGCAGCGACCACGTGAGCCCACGATAGGGAGGGAGGGGAGGGGGAGAGATCCGCCTGGGACTCAGGACAGGTTTGAGAAGTTCGTTCACCACCGCCACTGGCGCCGGCTCCATGACAGCTGCACTTCGGTAGCAAGTGAAGACAGTGTCCTGAAATTGATTTTTCGGAGAGTGTGATTGAAGCCGCAAGGACGTCAGTATTTCATAAGGACGTCGATATCGGTGCGGAGCCTCAGCCACTGAAGATCCCTTAAATCTCTTAAAATTAGCGATTTTCACTAGCAATTTTGACTAATAGCACCTCAAGGCACCTCAAAGGATCATATATAGACACAAAGTAATGCCAGTTTACCCCTAGTATAATACAAATTTCAATCATTCATCACAAACACCAAAACAACACTTTGAAGATGTTTAGGTTCTTGTCCATGATCGTATACAACAGTCAGTGACAAATATGCTTCAACAAAAATCAGCCCAAGAGCCAGCGGCTATCACTAAATATTGACGTCATAAGAGGGATATTATATCGAGCAAGAGGAGTGACGTAAAAAAAGCAGACGTCCAAACAAAGAGATGGAAAACAGCTAGGAAAATTAATTTCCATAGCTTCCTGTTATGAAATTCAATTAAGAAAACTCCAAGGTAGACGCTGAATTTTTCTTGGCTGGAAAAAATGTGAAATCATCGTGCACTTTTCAGTTTTGTACCGACGTCGATTTAATGGGAATGACAAGGTCAATCGACGTCCCCAACATTGCGTGTATTTTTAAGCCAAAGACGACATACTTTAATCAAAACTGTTGAAATTCGGTAGCTTTATTTTAATTCAAATAAATAAGCACAAACTTTTTTCCCAACCACTATCAACATATGCAAAATTAACTACTTTTGAAGGGTGGTTCAAGGGGCAGCGCTACCCCGTTACTGTGGCCTTCTAAGGGGAAAAAATAATTAAATATGTTACAGTGATTTGATACAAAAGGTATGTTGTGTGCTTATAGATAAATGTCGAAGCAATATATTCGCAGGATTAATTTTTATCTATACACTGCACAGTTACTAAAACTGAAAAGTGGAAAACGACGTCCTCAGATCCCTCTATTCCGACGTCTTTTCTCCTTCATATGGCAGCTGTTACCTTCACATGATAAAGGAAAAAACCTATCCATATCTGACGCACAGGAAACGAAAATAAAACCGCCTTGTTTACAGTTGCGGCAGTTCGCCAGCGGTGTTGGAAAGGGGAGTTGAGTATAAGAGTCGGTTTGTGAGGCCTTAGGATATTTTCATTGTCATTCTGCATAGCCGTGTTTTTAGGCCACAGAGGTGATATTTCTTTTTGTTAGTTTGCTTTTGGTGTTCGATATACCTGTCTACTTTTATCTGTCAGGGACGTCGTTTGGCTTTCCGGGACGTCACAAAGAGAATCTGTCCGGGTGTGGGTTTCCACCCAAATTCACGAAAATCAGGACACTGAGTGAAGACAGTATTGCACTCGTGTAGTATATACTGCCCACCATCCGAGCCTGATGTGGCGAGGAAAGACGCCGAGCGGTTTACACCAAGCAGGTTGACGATTGACACCAGGTGGCAGTCGAAATGCTCGAGTGCAACCTCAAGATAAACTCACCGGACGCCTGTCATGTCACCGCCAGCGCCGCCGGCGTCAGGTCGGTGGTCGCTTAACCCCCCTAGCCGCCAGATTCCCTCCCTGGCAGTGCTGACGTCATGTCACCGGCTCCTCTGCGGCGTCCAGAGCGGCGAGCCGCCGACCTTCAGCAGTGGGCGGCACGGCGCGCTGCGGTCGGTGGATCCGCGTGCCGCCGTGTCTCCAGACGTGTCCTGGCCTCCCCTCCCCCCGGTGTCACCAGTAAGGTGTGCCGGAGGGACTGGGGACGGCTGTGGTGCTGTGCTGAAAACCTCTGCCGGGACACGGAGAGGGAGGTTACGTCAGGAGATGACGCCATGTCAGCACGAGCTCTCGTCGTGTCAGCATGGCGTCTTCACACCTCGCGTCGAAGTGTCATCACATCTGCCCTGACTGTTGTAGTTCTTTGCGGCTCTGGGCCAAAGAAATACATCGGCTTTGCTCGGCCGGCCGGAGCCCGACTTGGTTTGCATTTTCGTGCTTCTTTCGTCGGTCTGGCTGGCCAGCTTCTATCCGACGTCGCTCTGTTGGCTGGCGGGACCGGTGACATTGGTGACGGTTTGTTGTTTCGGTCGGGTCTGTGTTAGTGGTGTCAATCGGAACTTGAATCTTCGGAATTCCGATTTTGTCCAATGTCCAATTCGGAATTCGGTTGGACAATGGCAGCAGGCTTTGGACAACTTTGGACAATCGCTCGCTACACCTCAACATTTTTAAAAAGTAATCGTGTTTAACATTGATTGGCTATTAGAAAGCCCAACTTTCAATATAATGAAACTTTTGAGCTGGTAACGGAACATGAAAAGCAAATTAAATAACAGTGTTGAGTGTAAACTATTGCGTAGGTGTCGGACATCTTTGGACAAATGGCTGGCTTGGACATTTTTGGACGGACAGTCGACGTAAGCATTGGACATTGGACGGACTTTGGACATACGTTTTCTGAAATTGACATCACTAGTCTGTGTACGAATCGGCAGCCCGATGGCGGGGCACCGGGTGTGCCGCTGACGGCGGCACCGACCGCGACAGGCTGAGAGAGAGGGGGCAGAGTGAGCGACCGCGACAGGCTGAGAGAGGGGGCAGAGTGAGCGACCGCGACGGCTCGGAGAGGGAAGAGCGAACGGCCGAGACCACCTACAGGGACAGGGATTAGTCCGGTCGAGGACACGGTGATGACCAGCGTTAAGAAAGGTGCATTGTGATCTTCTGCTAGTAATCACAATAGTAATCACAGTAGTAGCTGTGGTCCTTTGGTCCATTTAGAGTGCAGCTCAAGTTGTTTGTCCAAGAATTTCTTACCGAGAACATCGCCGCCACCGCTGCCGTCGTCCCGTCAACCACGTCTGTCCAGTCCGTTCACTTAGTCACGGGCGCGTGCAGAGATGCCGCCGGCCGTGATGCTACTCCGCTGCGCATGCCGGCTCGTGCCGCGTGCTGCTGAGGAATGACGGACGTTCTGGCACGAGGGTGACCCGAGTATGACCTCCGGTTACTGACCACAAGAAGCCACGGAGCCGCGTTGTCAGTCATCGCCAGCACTGCCCACTGTGGACCGTTTTCATCAGTGGCGCATCGGTACGACGACGTTTTACAGCCTCGGCTGCCTCCCCCGGCGGCACAGAGGGCTGGGTTGAGCCGGCCAGCCGTTCGGCGGAGAAGGGCGGTCGGTGGGTTTGTTTAGCTGGGCTCGGTTCGGCACAGCTCGCTGGCAGACGAGCGATCAGCAGTGCTGGCGCGGCGCGGAAGACTGAGCCGGGGACGCCCTACACACGGGCTCAGCTGGATCGGCGCACAGTGGCTCAGATGGGTGAAGCAGGGTGGCTCAGACGAGACGGTGCCTGATCTGAAACACGGCATGATTATTATATAATAGCTAATAGTGCTAGGTATTGAAAGAAGTTGCAGCTTGACATGGCAGTTAAGGCTGTTTCAACTCCTGGAACAAAATCAGGACGCAGTGATGCTAGATATGATAAATTCACACATTAAGCGACCACAGAAGTACAAGCATAAACTGACACTTTGTGCTTGTCAGTGTTATACCGGTTGATGTTAATGACCTTGATAACGCTGATTTACACATGTTCAGGGAAGAAGACTGGAACGACAGGAAACAGCTTCCAGCGGCGACATGTGTTGTTAAAACGGCCATCGCTGAGTGCCAACACGCGGCGCTAATGGTTTGCTGTGATACGTCCTGAATGATAACGTGTGTATGTTGGCGCGCTTCGACACTCCAGCCG